TCTGTCGTTCCTCCCGCCCCCCCCACTAATGTTTTTCAGAGTTTTCCTGATTGTAGTCACTTAATTATTTTTTTGTATTGGTAGCCAAAAAGCCCTTTTTTTTTTCATTGAAATATTTTTTAAAAATAATGGTGTCTTTACAGAAAAATTTAAAGCTTGGTACTGGCAGGTGGCATGCTGGTTAAGGCGCTGGACTCCTGTGTGGCCGACCATGATTGGAGTCCCAGTCCTGGCGGCTTGCTTTCTTGCTTTCTGCTCCCACCCCTGTCTCTCTCTGGTCAAATTTTAAAAATAGTAATAAAGTTAAATAAAATAATTCTTTAAAAGAAAAAAGAAAAAAAAAAGTCAAGGCTTAATAAGGCCGGTATCTCAGGAGCTGGTTGCCATTGAAGGGGTGGTGGTTACCCACACTTCCCAAGAGGAGACACACCATGCCACGCTACACCACGCAAGGCCACACGAAGAAAACTCCCTAGGTTGTATTCGAGAGAGAGAGAGCTAGTGGGCTAAACCTTCATTGCAGTTTCTTCAGGACAGAGAAGTTAGGATAGGTTTAGGACTGGCTTGTTTGAACAATTTCAGTGGGTGTCAGGCTGTCCCTAGCTGTCTTTTAATGGGTGTGACCTGAGGTGATTGGGACTGGGATAGGGAGCCAGATAACAGGGGGAGGCTGGGCGTGGGCTCTAATTCTGCTGGCTTGCAGGAGAAGGGCCGGTGTTGGCCTCTGCAGAGTGAGGCCGGCAGGTGACCTGTGTGCAGTTCGAACTCACTAGCCCTGGGTGGGGCAGTCCCTCCTGAGTCAACAGGGCCCGAGTGTCAAAGCATGGAATTGGAGAAAATGAGAAGATGCGGCTAACTCAGTGTGGCAGTAAGTGGATGTTTATTAAATTTCATGTAAACGTGGAATGTGTATCTGGAGAATTAGATCTTAAAGCCTTCCTGCTGTGCCTACCCAGTTTTTTAAATTGAATTTGTTCTTAAGACGTGTCTGTTCTGTTGCTGTTGTAATAAAGTTCGCAACTCCTCTGTGTCACGTTAACGTGTGTGCGTGTTCCGCGTTACCTCTACGCCTAGTCAGTTCTCTTAAACCTGCTTTTCCTGGGACCAACAGATGGCGTCGTGGTTATGTGGCTGGACTCCCACGCAGTTGACCATGGTTTGAGTCCTAGATCCGACGGCTTAAAACTCATGCTGGGCACATGTGTGTGTGCCCAAAATCCCAAGAGGAGAATGGAAGAGAAGGGACTGTGGTGTGGCCAACCCTCCTGAAGAGTGATTTCTCAGTTTCTGTCTCTCGGTCTCTCCAGTGAGCACACATGCCCTGTAGTAAAAATATCTCTCTAAAATAAACAGCCTGTCTAGGGGCCAGAAGGGAGCATGGTGGTTAAAGGTGCTGGACTCCCACATGGCTGACCACAGTTCAAGTCCTGGACCTGGAGGCTTGCTTTCTCTCTTTCTCTCTCTCTGATCAAACTGAATAATAATAATTATAAAGTTAAATAAAGTAATTCTTAAAAATATATATATATATGGGACCAGCAGTTAGCGTAATGGCTATGTCGTTGGACTCCCATGTAGTTGACCGTGGTTCCCGTCCCGGACCCAGTGACTTAAACTCACGCCGGCGCGTGTGCGTGTGTACCCAAGATCCCGAGAGGAGAATGGAGGAGAAGGGATTGAGGCGTGGCCATCCCCCCTGGGGGGTGATTTCTTGCTTTCTGTCTCTCTGTCTCTGTCTGGCAAGCGCACGCGCCCTATAGCAAAAACCTCTCCAAAAAAAAAAAAAGAAAAAACAATAATAGTCCGTTTACCCCCCTCTTATCTG